AGAAAAAGCCAGAAAATAATAAAGCATGTACTAATTGTTTGTGTGATCCTGAAAATGAGATTAGTTTAAGGAGGAGTTACAGTATATATACTGTTTACCAATTTTGAAATAATTCATGAAAACTGAAATGTAAAAACAGTAGATGGCAGTCTTCATCTATAAAAATACTTGCAAGGTAGAAAAGGAAAATACTTTATTGAGATCTGTTGCACTAAAAGCAGCTCTTAATTTTACTAACTGAAAGCCACGCAGAAGTGGCTTTAAAAAAAAAATAAATAAACGTACAGTGTTATTACACTCTAGCAACAATACAAGATAGTTTAAGTTCACAACTTCTGCATAACTGTGAATTATTATCTTCCTGCGAGAATACAGCACTAGATACACAGTGTTAGCACTAGAAATATTTTGGTCATTTCAGAAACTCAAAAGCAGTAAGTACAGTTAGAAACTAAACAGAGGAAATGTTTTAATGGAGTTAGCTTTTTTATTCTGTGTAAACTGTTTGTCATTAACTGTGTTGTATGTTTAATCCAGAATTATTTAAAAAAAAAAGTGAAAATAATAAAAATTAAAACATAATTATTGTACAATATTTCTATAACTTGAATAAGTTATAAAAAGTATTATTGAAAATATTCCCACTTCTCAAAATTTGTTATACTAATGGCATGCTTTCAGATTTTCTTTTGGAGGAAGAATTCCAAAATTTTTCAACATGTCATTCCAACCAGTATCCTCATTTGGATCCTGTTTTAATAGTATGAAGCAAAATTAAAAGCAACGAGTGATACTTGTGTGCCTTTTTTGAAATCAAAACCAGTAATTTTCACTTTAGCATGTATTAAAGGCGAAACAAAAGGAATCCATTATTTTGAGGCTGCAATACCTTCATGGACCATCCTCTATCATGAATTTTTATATGTCATTTTTCACTTAAGAACTGAAAACAGCAAGAACTACTAAGAATAAGGTATTGACGCTGTGAATAAATGTATAAAAGCATACCTAGAATCAGAAGACCATTTTGTTCTAAATCAATTATTAATATTAATGTGTTAACATAATATACCATGTTTGTAACACTGGACTTCTGTGGTAATTTTAATTCAATGGTTAAGATAAAGGAACTGCATGCTATTCATAAAACTGCATTTCTACTGAAATTATCACATTAAAAGACTCTATTTTAACAGGGCTGCTGTTGTAATGGTAGAATAGCAGCACTTGAGAGACCTCAAATATGGATTGGAAGTAGTAAAGCAGATTTTAAAACTGATTGATAATCAAAAAGCATGGTATTTTTGGCCCTGAAATGACTTGTTGGAAAAGCCTCCATAAACAAATAATTATATAAATATGAATAACATAAATATTTAGTGATATACATAATTCCATAATAATGCAGCATAATATGAACAAAAAGTACATTACAAAAATTTTACCTGAGGAAACATCCAGGATTTCCATTGGATTACTACTGTGCCCATGAGTACGGCATCGGCCTTTTCAACTGACAGCTGCTTCATTTTTATTCAACAAGGTTCTTGCATTCTAATGGAGATCAAATGCTACAATGCCTCAAGGATTTTCACAAAGGTAGAAAAAATTGCTTTGCAATTTAGATGAAAAGATGCTTGTGGAATTCACAGAGAGAGTAAATAGAATCATGCTATCACTCACAAGGAAGTTAAAAGCTGTGTTTGCGAGAAGACTCTGATCTCTGCCAGTTTCTTTGGCATGAGGAAGGAAGCAAGGCTTGGCAGGGTTTGAAGTGGAAAGGAAGTGGCAGCAGCTCACAACAGTTCCTCCAATACTCCTATTGCACTGGCTCAGCAGACTGCAGGCAAGGGTACTGCTACCAACATGCACTACTAATTCAGCACTCTGGCCCTGCAAACTTCGAGAGCCTTATTGCTAAGATAGAGACTTCACATCTGAATAATTTATTCCTTCTGCAGCTCTGATATCCAGATGTTGGACTGCTCCAGTGTAAATATTTACAATAATTACAGAAAATTATTTTCTGAAACTTTCTACCTCTAAGAAAGTGGTTATTTCATCTCCAAATGATATTTCAAATATACTCACAAACTGACTTTATCCACATATAAAAATATTTCTTTCTTTGACTGAAAAGTAATTGATACAATCCATTGGGAAAAAACTAAAAGAGGAGCTCCATAAATAAGCTAATGAGTTAGATGGTCACTAATGGGTCTGTAATAGGAAAAAAACAAATGAAGATTTTGCTATAGTGTTATTCCTCAGGGTTTACTTACACAAAAGTGTCTTACACTCAGTCAGGCTATCAAAAAAATCCACATAACTAGGAATACTCCTCCTCCAAGGTAACCACAGAAGAAACACAAGTGATAGACATGCACTTTGGCCTCCAAATTAGTGTTTAGTGTATGATTGCCTGATTTAAGCCAGGATCAGGTTGGCCCACTTCATAGAATGCAAATCCCTTCTCATAGCAGGATTATAAAGAACCACAAGGCACTAAAAAACATAATAAAAATCATCATCATTACTGGACAAATAACTACAAAACCACACAGCAAAAAGGACTACTCAAATGGAATTGGAATGTAGGTATGGAAGACCATTTTTTGGCAGGAAATATTTTTAATATTTTGACTTCTTGTGTTTTTCTGTAAATCTAGGTCCAACATAAAATCTTTCCACAGTATTTTACTTAAATGGTGCATTTTATACTATATCTATTTAATGCTTGCAACGTTCAATAGGTTTGTGTAACCAGTTCTACATTGGACATTTTCTAGATGCTGTTACATCTACAAAATATAAAAGAAAAAAAAAATTTGATCAAGAATCCCAGGTCACAGTAAATGTAACAGAAACGACTATCTGATAAATCTGAACTCCTGCCTCATGGAAGTCAGAAACTAGCAAACCTTTAACAATTTTTTAACAAATTGAATTAAAATGGTAAGAGTGCAAAGGAGCCAAGAAGTAGCAAAAATGATCCAACATAAATTGGTTTCAGAGTATGAAGCTACATCACTGAAACAGCATTACTTTACCAGCAGGGCACAAACCCAAGAGAAAACCCTTCCCATAACACGTCTGACTGCTGCCAGTGATGATGTTAATTACCACCAGCTGGTGAACTACACCCTGGATTACATCAATCGTTACGTGTAAATAACACTTCTAATAAATTTAAATTGCAGTTCCTTTTTTCCTGGCTAATGACACCAAACAAATCCTCAGCGTTGTTTCTAAAACATGTTACACCTACAATTGTTCAGCTAACAAATTGTAGCATTTTATTATTCTTACAGGACAGCAATGATAGTTAATTCTTAACGTTTAGAGACGTAGAGTTTCCTCATGTCTTGGCACAAGGAAACCCACAGAAGCTGCTCTCCCACCTGCCATTTCTCAGGACCCTGCAGGGGCTGGGAAAGTTACGCAGGATCAGAGCAGCGTCCCTGGCTCCCCCTGCCCTGCGGGGCCCTGGAGAGCCTTGTGGCAGGCATGGCCTTGCTGAGGGAGCCTTCCCTTCCCAGCAGTTGCCTTTGCTCCAAGCCGCTCTCTGAAATCTCCCCCATTTCCTTCACGTCCCTGACCCAAGTCCCTCATTGCCCTCAGCCTCAGCTTCTGCCTGCCCTGGACGGCTCGGTGCTGGGGTGACGCTCCGCGCCCACCTGCATGGCTGCCCCAGGCACCGCCGCCCCTCACGGAGGCTGCTGGCCTGACCCCGTGCTGGCAGGACAGTGGCAGTAGGGCAGCCCTGTCCACTTGGCCCATCCTTCGTGGGTTACCGCTGAGAAAACTGATCCCCTTTAAAACAGTTCCAGAGGAAAGGAACAAAATGTCAGAGGGTGGCACTCTCAGGTGGTTTGGTGTGACCAAAGGCAGCCACCCCGCGCCCTGCCCTGCCCTCAGCTGTGGGCTGCTCACGCCCTGCCTCTCCGAGTGGGAGCTGTCAGCTGTGTGGTGTAAGGCACTCATGGGACAAAGCTTCAAACAAATAGCCTAATCTAATACAACACATTATAAAATACAATTTTGTGGCAGGCCCTGCATTAGTTCTGAGCAGGGGTCATAGGTAACTAGACCCTCAGTTCACAAATAGTGGTGCCAGTTCAACTGGAGGCACAGCAAACGGCAGTGCAAAAATGAGCGAGCAAAAAGAGGAAAAAGTCTTCTCAATTTGGCTTCCACTTCTGAGGGCCTCATTTTCCCTGCTGCCTTCTGGAGTTTTGCTGCTCATCCAAAATTGCAGAAGCAGGGGTAAGAATGGTGAGGTCGATTCAAGCCATGACCAGTCAATACAATGTTAAAAACTTTAGTCTGTTTCTACACTGAATCACAGAATCATAGAATGGTTTGGATTGGAATGGACCATGAAGATCATCCCATTCTGAATGATTAGTTATGTTCAACATAATTACAAATAAACTCAGAGAGAGAAGCTGGGAAGATTGTGAGGCTAACTTGTGCTTCTTAGTAGAATTTCTTAAAGTCTACACTGAAAGCAGTTGAATTTTCAAGTGAATCCTAATCACAATTGCAATAAATCTTCTTCTGAATGAGAACCCTAGTGCATCTCTGTTCTTAATAGCTAAAAAATTTATGCCATTATATTTCAGTTGGATTAAAGTCAAGATATTTCTTCAAAACATACAACTTATTCATGTTTCTTTTATTAAGGGAAGAGAGAATCTCATCTTTTTTTTCCAGTGAAATACTATAATCTTAAAGTTTATTGGGGATTGCAAAACTCCTTTATCATCAATATAGTTTTGCAGATCCCTTGCTTAGTACTGCCCTTGACCCTGCAGGCTGCCACAAGTCCACAGACTACATCGAAGGAAGTACAGGGGAGAGAACATCATCTTTCTTTGGCCTGCCTAGATAAGCTGTGATTTTAAAGACTGCACAAATCACTTATGATATATTCTGAAAAAAAACGCAATTTTCTGTATGTGTATTGCAAAAGTTCTTATTAAAACAACTCTCTAGCTGAGTTCTTTTATTTAGAAAGGAAAAACTATTTACTTAACGATGTTGGTAGAGGCAATGTCTGTTGCATGCACACACTGACTTTTTACAGCTGAATTACATGTGGTTGCAAACATCATAACACTAGGATGCAAATAATTTTAATATGCTTTTAATATAATCAAGAAAGTAAAGAAACTTTTGAATCCTAAACAGAATCTAGTTTAAGAACATTTACATTCAAATTATTTTTAATTGTACATTAGTAATGAATGATTTTTGTAAGGAAAACAGTACATCCATGTACTCAGCATTCCTGCAGTATTACTTGTAGGTGAGGAATCTAAAATCCTGAAAATAAAAAAAAAAGCATTAGCTGTTGATTTAACACTAAGTACTTAAAATATGATAGAGGTATAATATACATTAGAAAACAGAGCATTATAATATTCGTATTCTTTTTTATATCTATCAAAAAATAGTTGAAATTAAATCCTGAAGTCTTTACTTGGTTTCAGTGTGAGTTTTATGTCTTTGTAAGATTAGGAGATTACCTCCAGGATGTCAGTTTACTTCTCAGTGTGTATGTGACAGGTAGTTGGATCAGTTCTTTCTTACATACACATCATCATCATTACCTTTCCAAACTGTTTACAGTTCTTGCTGCCTGAAACATCCCTCTGTTTTCTGTTCTGGGACCTGAGTACCTACAGTTTCTCTTCACTTCATCTGAAGAGCAGTGTATTTAACACAACCGAGAGAAGTTTGTGGGTGGAAATCTAAGTTTACCCCACAGTTAAAAGCTTTCTGAGACTACTTCTCAACATAAATATTGTGGTCTATATGTATAAAACTAAACTAATTTATATGTAAATCATGATTAAAAGTATTAAATAAATACCTCCTTAGCGAAAATCCACTGATCTCCTTCCATTTCGTGGCTGAAAGACAAATATTCAGTAAGTGCTTTATAAAACTGACAGGATTTAGTAACAAAGCCCAGGCAACTTAGTATGTATAGAAATTGGTAAACTTCTCAGCTCTGTCAATGTGACCATCATCGTAGATACACCTGAGGTAAGTTATTGTTTCAACTATATCTACCTCCAGAGAATTATACAGTAAAATTTACTGCATATAGATTGAAGGGTGAGTTATACCTATCTTGTATGATTTTATAAAGGGGAGAAAGGCTCAAGAAGTTACTCTAGGAGATCATTATCCTTTATTCTTTTTTACATTTTCTTAAAATGTGCTGATTGTTGTTATTATAACATTATAGGTGTATGCTGCTGTTAACAAACAATTATATGGCACTTTCAATGATTTTGGTTTTAGACTGTGTTCTTTAGCATAGGCAAAGACTTTTTCCATTTTCACTGTGGTCATTTTCAGAAATATTTTGCACTATGAGGGACTTGATACAATTTCTACTAAAGCTGATAAAAAATTTCTTACTGAAATCCTTCATAAGGATTTGCCTTCACACTGGAAGCTTGAATGCATCAATGTTAGTATTACTCCTAACTTTGGCCTGTCTTAACAACTTGAAAGATCCAAGCCTGATACATAAGAAAGGTAACTATACAAATTTGTAGTCTTTCCATTAGAATCATAGAATCATTTAGGTTGCAAAAAAGACCTTTAATATCATTGAGTCCAATCCTAGCCCCATTCTTATTTAAAGCCATTAACCACTTTCTTATTTAAGTGGAAAGAAATAGCAACCAAAAACAAAGGAACTATTATTAAGTCTGATTTTCCATCTTCTCAATTTTGTCAAAATGAAGTAAAAATGCAACATGGCATAAAAAATGAACTCAGTAGATTCAGTCTCATGAGAATTTCTATATTTAACTTCTGACCTTACTGGTCAAAAGGAAAATGGCAAGGTCAGGCCTCATAGCTGTTTCAATACAGTGTGTAAGAGTGGCACTGTATTTATATCATATGCAAGTGTACCAGGTTGAAAAATGCTTAAGAAAGATTATCCAAGATGACATATTTTCTAGAACTTTCTCTGAGAATTAAATACATAATAACCAATAACTTCTTAAGGTATAGCAAGATATCATGTATACACAAACCTAAAAGTATTTTTTAAAAATTCCTATTATGCCTTTATTTGAATACAAGAAAAAGTCTGAAGCAGAGCTTAAGTAGTAGTCCTATACAGTGGTTTCTTTTGTGGTTTTTTTTTTTGGTAATTCATCACAAAATGCAAAGAAAAAAGTCAAACCAACCCATACCCTGTAGAAAAAGTAGCCTCTGCTTTGAATCCCTACAGGTCCTTGAAGTTCCTCCTGAAAAAAAAAGTATTTAAAATTATATCTACTGCTGTAAATTAATATGTATAGACAGGTAGTTTATGTGGATTTTAAAAGTGTTTCTTCAGTACTGCTATACAGTCTTGCCCCTTAAGGAATGCTTTATGTGCATTTTTCCATGTCAGTAACAGGAAGTTATGTAGAAATAGCAGAAGACATATGAATGAGGGCCAAATTCCTCCTGAAGTTTTAGCTCAGCTCAGATTGCTTTAGAATGGTACTAGAAGTGATGAGCAGCCTTTGCCTTTGACTTTCCAGGTTTCATTACCCAGACACAGCCACAGTGTCTTCATTGTGGTGGAGTCTCTATAGATAGAGTAGGCTTTTGCATCTTGCAGAAAGACAACAGTGCAAAGTTTAATTATCAGAAATACTTGGAGTCCTCCCGGGAATGAGACCCCAGACTGTTCCCAGAGGTGTACCATAACCACTTCACACATTAACTCCCACAGACCAGTGCTTATGATACTGTACCCTGTCTGTGCTGCACACATGGAGAAACAACTGTCTAGTGATCCATACAGCAAGGAGGGTAACAAATGATGGAAGAAAATAGAAATTCCATTTAAATGTAACAAGTACAAGGCATGAAGTATCCAGTTGCTTTAATGAGATCTTCATAATTAGAGAACACCTAAGCTTAATCACAGTATTTTGTTTGCTTCTGGTATCAGATACAAGTGATGTGCCTGTCCTGCAGGTGGGGAGACAGGCCAATTGAGAAACAAAATAGTTCAAACCTTATGCTTACCGAAACACAAAATTTAGATGGTATTTATTCGGCAATGGTGGTGTTTCTCAATTAAAAACTGGAGTCATACGATCTCTCATATGATACCCAAATATCATAACCTGAGGTGTCATAGAAAGAAATCACTTCTATTATAATGCTGTGAGAAATGTGTAAAACAGGATGACTCTCATAATTTCCAAACAAAGGAGCAGATTCAATCCAGGGAAGCTTTCAAAGGAAGTAGGGTTTAAACTATACATAATTTTTGAGTCTTGATTTTAGTTCTGACTTCAGTTGACCAGCTATAGCATTATACTCAGTTTCTTGTTGTATGTAAAACATCTGTGTGATTTTTATTTATATTGTCCACCTCATTCCAGTATTAATTGGGTTTGAAATACCCATCGTCGGATTTATAATCTGTTCACTACTATTGGTTTTTATATTTTTAAAAAAATATTGGTTTAATATATTTTCAAATTTTCTGTCAATGGAGCCTTGTCCATTGCCATTGGAGTGTCTTACAGTACTTATATGTCATTATTTTTCTACTTTTTCTATTCAAAATTTCTACTGAAAATGGAAACAGAATTGATAGCTGTTGCAAATTTAGGAAATTATCTAGAATATAAAAGGAATGAAGAGTAGAATTACTCATGAGGAATTGTGATTTATGTTAATATATCATTCTCTGCTTACAGCCAGACACCTCTTAAAAAAGATTACATAGTGTTCCTATTTGATTTCATGTCAGAAGTTTGGTATCAGAAAACAACTGAAGCTAAAAATCTGTCATTGTTGTAAGACTCACCTTCTAAACTTTCAAGGGTTTGGAAATGTTAAAAATAAATACATGCTGTAGTATACATGCATGTTTATTCACAAACCTGCATGTATATATGTACACAGAAACATATGTATCCATGAAGATGTATGATTATTTAGGGTTTTATCTTAAAGCCTGCCCTATAGAAAGTGTCTTGCTCAGTCTTGTAGATTGACTTGCCAGCAAAATGCTCATGTCTTCTTTCTTAGATCATATTCAATCACGCAAGATGTAGCTCAAGAGAAATCAAATCCATGACAAAATCTGGTGTTGGTCCAAACTGGGAAAAATGACTGTAATAAGCAGGTTTCCTCCTTGACCCATCCACCTTTTCAATTCCTTATCTAGTCAGGGAGAGAGGTGGAATGTGTTTATGTACATAGAGCAGGCTCTGGTTTTCTTCCCAATATGAGGGAAAAAATTGTCAGCAGCAAGATAATACATTCCATGACACCAGAGTCAGGTAGTCCAACCAAAATATACGAGCAGAAAGGTCCACAACAACATTTTTAGAAAGGCTAATGAATAACGAAGTGTGAGAACACAAGCATGCAAAGTTTAAATTTACATACGTCCACTTTGTATCTCTTCAGTCTTCTCTCATTAAGCTGAGGAACGAGTTGCAGTAAAGGATGCAGGACAGAGGACTGAGAGGACATGAACACAGACACATGAACAACAACGAAATTGGGACTTAATGATGCAAAAAAAGTCTCTTCCCACAGTATTGGCTAATGGACCAAACATACACCAAAAAAGCACTGAAGATGTTATTGAGAAACTTTTTTTTAAAACATTTTGACTTGACAACAAACGGTACAAACATTTATATTTACACTATGAATGTGACTCACAGAGTGATGGAGGGGAAAGCTATGCATCCTCAGCTTTACTGATTGCAAGTTCAAAACCATTTTCAGACTATTACTGCAATTATTCAGACTTTGATTGGTCTCTAGGAGTGGTACAGAGATAATTTCCATACAGGACTTCTATTAACACTTCTAAGATTATCTACTGTGGAAGTTAGCAGCTTCAACTTAAATGGCAGCAAGAAAAATTTTTTTTTTTGCTAGAAAACATTTGTAACCATGGAACTGGTCACTATATCTAAGCTCCAGTCACGAAATTCCTGCTGTTCATGAGACTTTAAGCTTGGAGACAGCCTGGTTAAGCACAGTGGCATTGTGTGCAGCTTAAGTGCGCACCCTGGCAAAACACAACCATTTGGGCTTGTGGAGAGGTCCACAGTGAGAAATAAAGTAGAAAGACCCATATTCCTTTAACCAATTTAAACATTCCATTCATATAAATGTAATTTTAAAAAGAATGCATTTTTGATACAATAATTCTTTAAAAGTAATGCAATGAAAAGAATTGTAATATATGGAGTAAACAGTTACCAAAGTGTTACTGTCCTTAATAGATAAAATAAAGTTGCCTATTTGGAGCCAATTTTGCATTGTCTCCCTAAGGTAGGCAATATGGCATCAAAGTATCTAAAAAAAAGTAGAAGCCTGATGTGAGTGAAGGAATTAAAGGATATCCCAGCTGGTCACTTCATCTCTGTCTTGTAGCCAGTGGATAGAGGTTATAAAGCTAAGGAGTGATGGATCCCACCTAAGTTAGTGTCTCTGAGAACGGGACTAGAAAATAGTCAACTGAACAGCTAAACCAAAAGAAGTGAGAAAGCAGTAATCTCTGGGGGCATCAGCAAAGATATTCAGGATAGTGATGAAGTGGGATGCAGTAAGCTTTTAAGTAGGAGCAGCAGCAGAACTAGCTCATTTCACTGTGCCTTGAAAAAGTCTCCAAAGCATCTCTATCATGAAAACATTGACCACAGTACCAGCAATATCACTTTCTAGGAAATACACCACATATTTCCAAAGAAATGTAAAGAAAAAAGCAGAAAAGGACATTAACATGTAAGAATGATTGCTAAGAAACAAGAAAACATGAATATGTTTAACTTTCTCAAAATCCTACTGTGCACAGAAGTTTCCACTCAAAAAGCAAGAATGGATCACACATAGTTGAATTGTTGCTTTATGACAATACTTTTATAGCAACAATCCTTGACTATGTTTTAAATCATATTTTTCATTCAAAATATAATCCAAAGTTTGAGTGAGACAAATACTATTTTGCCTGCTACATATTTATAACTTGTGCAAATGAATTCATACAGTTTAATTAATAATTAATAAAAATGTATTAAGAGCTCTTAATAGTTACGATCATGTTCTCAGCTCCTGAAAGTCCACATTGTTTCAGTGCATATGCTATGTTCCAATACCAGAAAAAAGCATTTGACCTCATTCTTAAAATTTGAAATTACAAGATTAAGATTCAATTGGGATTCTGCAATTGTTTTGTCAGGTTTGTTAGGGTTTTGGGTTTTTTCCACACCTGTACAGTACTGATGATCCTCTCCTGTGTTATTAAAACACTTTCTGTATCTTAAACATGCAACTCCCAGTCCTGAGCTTGCTATACAGTTGGAGAGACTACTGCAAAAAGGAACATTGCTTTGGTTCTATATACAAGCACACATGTACTCAGAAGGAGTACTTACCACGATGTCTGAGTTGCCCGAGTCATGAGTCTTAGAATAATGAAATAAGAACTGTTCAAAAAAATTAAAAGTGGGGGTTTACTACAAAACAGGGCAAGGGTGTTATGATCTTCTTACCAATTTTAGTGTGATCGTAAAACATACATAGACATCTTACCCTTTTGGTGTTGTCTTTTTCATCTAAACCCTGTGGGAATAATTGGCAGAGAAGATTTTATTTGTTAAAATAAAAACACCAATGGACAATTTTGATTACATTATAAACTTTTCCGTACTGGATTGGAACATCATTCTTCCTTGACAGATATATTATATGTCCTTGTTTATTAATGTAACTAATCTTTTCAAACTTTTTAGACAGCATGGATCATTCTGCCTTAGAAGAGATAGGTGGGTTTAGCAAATGCTTCTTTGTACATCCCTAGGCCATAAGCAAATTCTCCACTAAGAGCTCGTAATTTTTCTAATCTAGAGCAATAAAAACACCTAAAACCTTATATCCAACCTGGAGATTATTTTCCAAACATTGATGTCTCCCTGTTATGTTTAATAGGTGTTGGATTCTGACACATAGCATTTCAGACTAAAAACTGATAGTATTACTTCCAGTGCTGAGTGACATTTGAGATACTGCGTCCTCAGAATTCATTCTAGGCAATGGCACGGTGAGAGATCAGGCTTCAGAAACGCTAAGTGATCTTTTGTATGTGTTACCTGTGGTTTTGGGAGAAATCCCATGACCAAAAAACAAAGTTCTTCCAGTGTACTGGACACCTAATGCAAAGAAAACATGAACTTAGGAAACACACTTTCAATTCTACTACATATAACAAATAGTAAGACAAATATAAAGTAACCTCTGTCTGACTCACCTGAGGCCCAGAATCTGTGGACAGGTAGGCAGAACATGCATCATCTATCTGTAAAAGTTCACATGATCTCTTTTTAAGAAGTCAGATTAATAAAAAGAAGTGAAATACATATATTTTCAGAAGTAGTTAAGTGCAGTTAAAGGCACGGCAAGCTTGTCTACTGTCAGATATCCTTATAGGTCCATCCATTAAACACTTTACATTCAAAGGGGGGAAAAGGCCTTAACCACACAAAATACCCCTAACTTATACTTGCTTGATCTGAACAAACATAAATATCTGTGACCTTTATTCTCTTGACTGTAAGCTTCTCAGACTAAGTCACATTTTAAATTATGATTGTAAATATCTGAGGTATGGACTATGAACTAAAATCTCTTCTGCAATATCTTTGGATTATACAAAACTGTGAAGAAAATAACAAAGCTAAAGTAAGTGATTCAGTGATCAGTTCTCAAACACAACTCTTTCAATTGGATTCCAGCATCCCTGCAGGTGTATGACACATGCACCCCTTTAGTAACTATGATATGTGCCAGCACATCTTATGCATGCCAATCAATTTGTGTGAGTCACCAAGCAGCCAATATCTGGGGTTTACTTCGATTTCTATGGCAAATAAGGAGCACTTCTATCTCTGGAAGTGTTCAAGTCCAGCCTTGATAGGGCTTTGAGCAACCTGGTCTAATGAAAAGTGTCCCTGCCCATTGCAGAGGGATTGCAACTAGGTGATCTTTAAGGTCCCTTCCAACCCAAACCATTGTGTGTTTCTATAATTTTGTGTAAAGGAGATGGTTCCCAAATCACAATACTAGAAAGAGATATTCAAGGGATTTAAACTCTATGAGCACTGTGGCAGGAGTCATTGCTGACAAACTTAAGACATGTCAGTGCAGACTAGAATGTGACACACACAGACCAAGACCAAACCAAATAAATCCACAAACCAAACCAAGAAGTCCCCATTCCCATTTCATTCAGTTCAAAACGTCCATTTAGCTCTACAACTTATGTCAAAAAATGACCAAATGTCAACACCTAGCAAAACCCTGACACAAGACCACTGGTGAAGAAAAGCTCATGCTCTCCAACCACCAGCCATTTGTAGTGCTAGCACTTTGAGTTGGAAGTAGGTCTTTGCAATAAAGCTTCATGAACCTCTGTGCTGTGAATTTGACCAGTGTCTCTCTGATCTATATTGTACTTTCAGCATCCACAGCGTCCTTTTGCCAACAGTTTCCTGAAGATTGTGTGAAATACTACTATTGTTTGTCTTCACCAGTCTTTTCAAAGCTGTCTTCATTCAGTGCTGCCATGATCTTGTCTTGGAAAAAGTACTGCATAAGTGATTCCTACTCCTCTCCCTACTGTTCATAACCTTGTATTAATTACATCCTCCTTTTTATCGTCTCTTTTCCAAAATGAAAAAATCCTATAATGCTGAATAATTTTTAGTGGTGTTATTATTAGAAAAGGGATAAGAAATGGAATAAAGGGTATTTGAATTCATGGATGTAATTTTGCCAGTGCTGAAGGCTCAAAGAAAAGAGAGGATCTCTGGCACTCATTATTAAACAGTTGCACAGTTTAATAATGATTGAAAAAAGCAGCTTAAATTTTTATTATATACCCTTAAAGTTGTATGAATAGTAACCTCCTTCAGTATATGCTATTTTTTTTCCATTTAATATTTGATAATGTTAAATGCCAAAAATCTTGGCCAACTATCTTGTTCAAAGACTGCAAACAAACACATAAGGTTTGTTTGTTGTTGGGTTTTTTTTTAAATAGAGTAGGCAATGCAATTGTTCTTACAATTTTATTATACGTAAAAAGCCCTAAACAGCACTCTTTAGCAATGAAAGTATTAAATGAAAAAAGCAATTAAAAACCAATAATGCATATCTGAGTACTTCAAGATGAGATGATTCATTTCTCTAGAGACAATCTATGAAAAAGCATTAGCAGACATAGTGGGAAAACTAATAGCTCACAGAATTCTCTTTTCAAAGAGGCTTTGTTGGTAACATATTCTCTTTATTTTCTTTTTCCTTCAACTTGCCTATGTTTGTCTCTGGGTATGTTAGTTCAGCTTCACTACTTTCAGAGGAAGAAAACATAGAGGGAGAGATCAGTTGATGAGATAAAACTAAGCTGAAGTCATTTGGAAGCCTATGTTAAAAGAAGTCTGTTTCTTGGTAAGAGATTGTTTGTGTTTGGTTTTTTGATTTGTTTATTTGCTTGACTCAGAACTACCATAATTCAGTAGCAAAACAAGTCAGAAACTGTATTCAACACAATATAAGGCAAGGTATCTCTCAGGTAAAACTTTCATGGACAAAGCAAGGGTTGAGGAAAAGCCAGAGTTTCTGTTAATTCCTTTATTAAAAAAAATTAATAGTTTCTATCTTGGATGCATCTTCTCTGTAACTTTCTCTCCTATTTCAGAAATGTGGCATTAGGGTAGGGGATTACAAGTTGTTCAGAGTTGGTTAAATAACATAAAGAAATAGAAGGAACTGAGAGACAAGTAAAGAAACAAAATATTTAGTTAGAAAGTTCTCATATTTATAAACTCAGAGTCATTCCTGGAAAATACTAGATTTATTTAAAGGCAGGTCTTCTCCTGAATGATCCACTAGTAAAGTAGCAAACAGGGAAGAATGATTATTTTCACTTCAAGAAACTCCAGTGAATTAATATGAGTGTGTAATCAAGTTGACTGAGGGTATATAGCTACGTATTTAATTCTTTCTTTAGACCCTTTCCAGTCCTGCATAATTCTTGCTACAATGGTAACTTTTATGATTGCTTCTATTATATAATTTTACAGAATTTAGTGTCTTATGTCTACCATTTTCTTCACTGAAATCAACAGGAACTTTGCTTTTGTTTCCAGTCACCAGAGCCACAAATCCTGTATTACAGTTAGCAAATCTTATCAAGAAATGCAGAAATATACAAAACAGCATTTTTAATCAAGAATGTAAATAACTGATTTTCAAAAACACCTTATCGTTATGAGGATCTTACTTCCCAAGAGACTGTTTTTCCCCAGGAGATAAATATCACTAGGGCTCAGTGATATTTGAGTGCCAGTCCGGAAATATGTTAGATTTTGAGTCACTAGTTCCAATATGAACTATGGGGACATGACAGTAAGGATAATGCCTCCTGTAATGGTCTCAATAGGAAGAAATTTACCCTCTGCATCAGCAGCCCTGATGAGTCACTTGCTTTCTAATGTTATCAAAAGCTACTAAATTAAATGTCAACACAATAATTGAAGGTTACAGTAACACCAGGGCATGCAAGTTGCAGGCTAAACCCTCTCTGCGTGTTATGCCCTGCCACTCCATCTGTTCCAAAAGGGCAGAGAAGAGCCTGTATTAACACGTGTCACATCTCAGAGTCAAAACAAATGTTCATTTCAGAGATGAGAGTGGAAATTATGATACCAGCTGTTAGGAAAATGTTAGAGTGGCTAATTGGCACAGTGTATTATCTTTTACCTTTATCTAGCAAATTGAGAGGGTAGGATAGGATTAAATAGTGTCCCAGCCCTGTGTGCAGAACAGCAAGATGCAAGAGGTAAGACCAGATGAGTTGAAACAATTCCTGTGAATCATGTACACATTATAAAACTACCAGGCAGGAAAAGGTGTGTTGCTTCCAGGAACAGTGGCTGCCTGCTCATTGACACTTAAGTGACAACTGTTATCAAACATAGCTCTCCACTGAGACAAGACAGTCTTTTCTCAGAATGACATCTCAACACTCAGATCCAACATTCTCTTGAAGGAACTGTTAAGAATCTCTGGAAAATCTGGTATTTCACCTCTTGGCTGATGTCAAGATGGGAGACACACAGGACTGGAAGAAAATGCACCTGAACTCCATGCAAGAGAAATAGTGGATAGTGAGGTGAAGCAAAGATGGGCACAGAAGAAATGGGAGTATACCCATGGCAGATGATGCTTACCTCTTTCCACAGCTGCAAATCCTCATCTGACTCAAATGCTTGGGATGGCATCGGTGCACCTGGAAGCACAAACTGTGCTTAGCAATGCTGTACAGCAAAGGTCATTTATGTAAGTATACCATGTCAGAGATTTAAATAAAAACTATGAACATGTTAGGATACCTAACACACTTACTAACTGCAAAGTCTGAGAGCTGCATGATCCAAGAAAGTCTGCTGCCCTGGGTGTTTTGGGATTTGTCCAGTAGCTTGTGCCTGCTGTATTTTAGCAACACAGCAGGATGCTTCTTCACAAGTTCACAGCAGAGATAGATGTATCTCAGCATGGAAGTCTCACTGAGGGTCAGGCTAGTGTTAGTCCACGCTCAGTGATAAGCAGAAGGAAAGAAAATTTGCATGGCAGCCCTTGCATGTTAAGACCTGATCAGGAAAGCACATTGCAGTGCCTACAACTTTGCGCTTTCCAAGAACTCTGCTCACCTCCAGCACATGCTTTGCCAGTTGAGAATCTGGATCCTACCTCTTGCCTTCTTGTATGCTACAACTAAATAATTAAACATGTGCTACGTAACATACACCTGCATATGAAGAATACCCATGACATGAACAAGGTGTTTCTGAAAAGGTGATGGACAGTACATGTGTAACTGGCTTTGTTTCCTCTGTTTGGCATATGTGATGTGAAAAAGCTTGGTCTCTTAGAAGATTAAATGCATTATTAACTGCACAATGCTGCAGTGATGCTGTGCTTGGCTTGGGGCAGCTTTCTCCATCTTTGCCCACCCAGGCTGCAGAACTGGAAGTCACTGTACCAGGGTTCCTTCCAACTCAGTGCCCAGAATATCCCCCTTACCCTGCCAGGTAAAATAACAGTGTTGTATTTTTAACAGCAATGTATTGTTACAGTCTCTGTAAAAAATAGAAATAAGCATTACTGAATTGTGAGTATACTAGACCAAAAAGTACATCAGTGAGGTGTTGTAACTCCCCTGGGAGGGAGACTGGTGCTGGAGAGGGTCATGCTTTATGTGTAAGTGCCTACCACTGCAGGAAGCACCACAAAGTTATCTAATTTACCCCCCAGCTCAAAGCTGTGATCGTGAGCCACGCTTAAACCATTTATACACTGTTCTTAAAAGACCTCAGGTTAATAGAGAGTTTATAACTTCCTAGTAAGTCTAAAATTATGTGTGGTCACATTTTTTTCAAGGAATTGAACTGAACTAAACAAAAAGGGGTGAAGGTAGACTTATCTAGAAAGGCCAGGCAAGGAGGGTGTGAATGCCCATCATGTTCATTTGTTTTATATGTACTCCTTATAACAATAATCACAGCAGTAGTTAGATTCAGGCATTAACAGACGGATTTCAAAATCACATGTTGGTACTGGCACAGACTTAAGGTGATTAATTATTCTGGATGTTTGCTTTCCCCTAAAAATAAGAATTAGACAGGCTCTTAATTTCACACTATACAGAAGTGGAATTTTTTTTTTTTTTTTAATCTCCAAGATGTCCACATAACAAGAAAACTGCTTTCCAATTGCTTGTTTCATTTCAAGGAAAAATGCCAAATAAAGGCACTACAGTTATCTTATTCATTTTCTACTCTTAAATTAGTGTATTCAAATTGAGGTATTGCCTGGGACTGGTATTCTGACTGCAAAGAGTGAAACTGGGTAACATTGCCTGTCTCTGAACATTGCCTGTCTCTGAACATTGCTTCTGCCATTGCCTGGTTCCCAGGGCTTTTCAGGGTGAGCAGAAGAAATCCATTCGCCTGTAAGTTTTAGGGAAGCAAGGAAAAAAGCCTGACTATTTCAGCTTACCTTTTTTTTTTTTTTCTTCCTTTTCTCTCCTCAACTCTTGCAGCATAAGCTTTCAGACAGAGGAGGTAAATTATTTCACCAGCTGCCAAGTTTTCTTAATCCTTCTCCACTTATTCAAAACCTCTTATTTCATGTATAGTCCCATCTGTTTTGTGCTCACACGTAGGACTGTGTTCCTCCAAGGGCTAAGCCGTGTCCCTCCATCACCCTGCCCAGAACAGTGTCACAGTCCCTACAGGACTTCATTCATTTACACACATACACAACAACACACACGGTGAAACATTCGATTATCTTGTAATATACACAAAATAATCATGGGGGGGAAAAAAGCCCAAAAACCAAATAAGATAGAAGAGAGTGCTATTGAGAAAAGCAATCCTATTCAAAGGGCATATGGAGGAGGAAATCCTCCTATGAAATCGACACTGTCCACAATACATTTGCTCTCTCATTCTTCAATTCTGCCAACTTTTAAAAACTCAACTTCTTTCAAGGCAGTAGAATGCCAGATGCACAACCTGGACTCATGTCTCCCCATCTCTCCATTGCTCTCCCTAAACCAGATCCTGGCAATCATTTGTGTAAGAAAAATGATGAAATACTGTGCACCACTGCCCTTTTCTGCCCTCCTTTTCCTTTCCTACCCTCTTTCACATCTTCAGAATTTAACACAATATTAAGTATACTGTACTTAGATATCTCTGATTGTTGGTATTAAAAAACACAACAAATGAGAACAAAAACTCACAATTAATAAAGAGCACACATATAATACAAACAAAATGGAAATAATCCTTGCATAGCATTTCATTACTTCACTAAGTGCAGCTAATCTGCCTGGGGTGGGAAAATACAATAGGAAAGAGAGTATGGTTTGTTAAGCAGCCCATCAGTCCTTTCACAAGCACACCCTGACAAGAAAGTAGCACCTTTTAGGATTTCTTACGCAATAAATATTGCTACAGGTTGGACTAAGTGACTGCCAGAGGATCCTAAATTTTCCTGCAATTCTGTGATACATCTTGTTTCTTTTCTCTTCTCACCTTTCGAATCAGAGTAAATTATATTTAAAATTACACCGCTTTTAACTCCACCGCTGCTGGAGTGCAGCTCTGCCAGGACAGAGTAATCCTGCCGGGATATGCGAAGAAGCCTCGCAGACCAATCCCCGAAACTGCTCCCAGCAGCTGCGATCCTCCTGCGCATCCCTACACACACACCCCCACCCTGGGGCGCTCCGCAACCCCCCGCAAGGCTGGCAGGCTGGGGGCACCCCTCGCTCCTCCAGTAGTGTGCAGAGCTGGCAGCAAGGGCTTACGAGGGGGATGCTCCTCACCTTTGCAAGCACACATGGAGGAGGCGAGGAGGAGAAAGAAGAGGAGGAGCGGGGATCCGGGCAGCGCCGCGCCGTCCCCTGCCCTCCTCAGGCTGCGCTGGGGGGTGGCCGCGGGAGGCTGATGGTGGCAGAGGTGTCCCATGTCCTCGGAGTGCCCGGCGCCGCCGCTCTGACGGCCGCTCTTCTGGGCATGTCCTTGCTCCCTGTCCCAACTTTTTAAATCTCCCCGACACGTGGACGAGCCCCAGCCGGGCTCGGGGAGGGCTGCCCCGCGGCCCCCGGGAGCGGCCCCGCTGCGGGGCGTGACTCACCTCGCTCCGCTCCGCTCCGCTCCGCTCCGCCCCGGGGGTAGGTCCGCTGGGACCGCGGCTGGGGAGGTGGATGTCCCTGCTTAGCACGAAGGTGCGGGGGGGCTGGGCAGTCTCCAGGAAGGTATTAAACTCCTTCCTTAAGAAAAATCCATGGTTTAGCCCCACCCCCTCCTGAGCCCTGGCAAGAGGCGCGGTGACCGGCGTGGAAGGTGCTGCTTCTCCCCTGCCGTTCCCGGGCGTTCGGAGTGATGAAATGAGTGTGGCAAAGAGCAACGTTCAGGCACTGTCCCAGCCTGGTGAGGGAGGGAGAAGAGGCGTGATTTAAAGTGGGGAAATCGGGCACAGATTGGACCCCAACTAGCTGAATTTAGGAGTAAAAACTCATGGGTATTTCATGTGGGAGAAGCCGTTGGTAGCTGCGATGTGGGGCTCTCAGGATGTTGCACCCCTCTGCCTTGGGACCCGCCCACTGGTCGCCCAGTTTTCTGAAGATCCCCGGTTCCAGGGTGTGACTGACTGCTGGTTTTCCCTATGCCTTAAATATACACACAGTGCCGCACCACGAAACAGAACTCAGTGATGTGATAATATTTAGCAATTAAAACCTAATACTGTGCTTAGTAAGGTATTTTACTTTAAATGCGGCTGCAGACGTTGGTCCCAGGTGTCATTTATCCCTGTAGATAACATAGTCAACTACATTAGGACAAGAGGGCACGGGCTTAAGCTCTGTCAGGGGAGGTTTAGGTTGGATATTAGAAAGAAGTTCTTTACAGAAAGAGTTATCAGACATTGGATGGCCTGCCCAGGGAGGTGGTGGATTCACCATCCCTGAAGGTTTTTAAGATGAGGCTGGATGTGGCACTGAGTGCCATGATCTAGTAATCACAGTGGGGTTGGATCGAGGGTTGGACTTGATGATCTTGGAGGTCTCTTCCAACCCAGTTAATTCTATGATTCTATGATTATAAGATATTCAAAAGTACACAGACCTCAAATCTGTTAAGAACTTGGGCAGCTTAGTCCAGACATCCCTGAAGCACAGTAAGCCCTGGCTTACCGAAGCGGCTACGCAAGTCTGCCAGTGACTCCTGCTACCAGATCCAACAAATGATGTCCACGCCCAGCAGGATGCTCCGGCTGTGCTGACCTGCTCCTGACACCCATCCCAGCTGCAGGGTCTGGCTTTGAGGAAGGGTGCACATCTGACTGTCTCTGCTTTCTCACCATTTGCTCAGGAAGATCCTGCCCAGCTGAAGTGCTGCTCCAATGCTATGGGAGAGCGTTTCAGGACAGCTGTGGGAGACAACGTGGAATACGTGCAGTGGAAACATCAATCCTAGAGGAGAGACAATTGCAGCCCGGGAGAGCTCCTGGAGTCAGCTCAGCGAAGCCTCGTGTTGCGAAATCATTGTTCCGCGTTATCTTATATTGTGTAATCTCTCTCCCCTGTTCCTACACTGGAATGCAGCTCCTGTTCTGCCCCCAGAGCGGGGTCCCGCCTCTATCCTAACCCCGTTGGCTGTTTCCCCTGCCTTTCCCCGGTTCCTGGGTTCCTACTGGGTATTACCTCCCCGCCTTTGTCATTGGCTGGTAAGGCAGCCAAGCCCCTCCCTTCCTCCCGGAATCCTTATATGCTGCGGGAAACTTGAATACAGGCTCTTTGCCTGCCTGCCTGTCTGCGTGCCGTGTGCTCCTTGCTGCGTCTTGCTCCTGGGCTCACAGTGCTGCAACTCCATCCCGGTTGGGTGGATAGCAGAGAGCATTTCCCTCGCAATCCTGTCAGACAGCAACTCCCAATTTAAAGTCTATCTTTATTATTTGTTTTCCCCCTTTTTCCCATTCACTCTATTTTTTTGCTTGGATGCTTTTTTTCTGACTGTCAAAGGAAATGTTGTATCACGGTCCATAATAGTGGAATATTAGAGATTGTTATTTTCCAAAACAAATTGCAGTCCTTTTTTACCATTTCACTGGAATTTGACTGGGGACTGAATAGTGTGTGGTGGAATAAATCTGCCTAACAAGAGCAGTGGCTGATACTGTGAAACAAAAGAAAAATTTGATTTATAGGTGGCTTCTCTTTGCCTTTATCCTTATCAGGTGCACATGCTACAAATTGGGCTCTGCCACCCTGAACACTTTGAAAGGCTATCAAAATTATGGAAGCTTTGCCACGTGGTGTGCTAAGATGCTATGAAGTTCTCTTAGTAATAGAAGCATCTTCTTTGTAAGATTCAGTAGCAAAGCTTTCCTTAATACAGCTAAGCACAGAGCTAATCCTTATGTCAATGGAAAGCCACTTATCAGACCAGTACATTAATTAAAGAAGCCCATATTTTGTATCTATGATTGTATTTATATCTACCTAATTAAAAGAGTTGTTTTAAAACAATCTAAATTGAGGAATTGCATTTAGTTCTGGGTTTTGTTACTATAAGCAGAACATTTATTTTAAAAAATAATCATAAATGTGAAGTCATCGGTGCTGAAAGGTATCTGCTTAATCTACTTTGATTCAAATATACGGATCAGTGTCTCTAGCTTTGGCCTAAGAAAAGATTTAATTTGTTATGCATTTTAATTATAACGTTCTTGTTGAATATTTAATAGATTGTGAAATAAAATAAATTACACTCCTTTAGAATTTGAGAGTTGGATATCTGTAAATATTCCGCACCTGTTGAATGGTGCAGAGTGTTTTAAGAATAGTGAGAAAAAGATACAACTTGAATTAAACTTTATTTTCAGGTGAAAGGGTTCTGATTAGCTTGGAATTTACATTTTTGCACAGTGTGTTTTAATACTGAAAAAGCCTGCTTACCCAAAAAATATATTAGGAGATTTTGAAGATAATGAGAAAAATGTTCATGTAGAAAAAATCTGGTCTTCCATTTATGAGAAAAAAAATCTAATACTTCTCTCTTGATTGGATTTGTATTGCTCAATAATCTTTCATCTGAAACTGAATTTTGTTTTCAGCAGATTCTTCCTAATGGGCAAAATCAGTAACCATTAAACATACAACCCTATCTGTGCCATGAGTTACATTTGTCCGAATCCTAGCAAGCTACAGTCCTCCAGTACCTCCAACCCAGTATGGACTCCATTTCATTTTCAACTATGCCTTTCTTAGTAAGTGTAGTTTTGCATTTCCTGACACATGGGTAAGGTAAACTGATTTGGTCATAACTGTAATCCTCTTTCTCATATAATAGAAAAAAACCAGTATGAGTTGTAACAAAAATGTAGATTTGTATTAAGCCCAAACTCTATCTTATACCAGGACAATATTTTTACTGAAATCTGTGCTAATTTTGACAGAGCAGGTTCTCCAAGCTTGAATCTTACTGCATAGGAGGCTTGCATAGGTAAAGATGGTCACCTTTATGCAAGGAACTCTCTGAAGTTCAAGTAAGCATTCTTGTAAACAGGAGACAAAAAAGATCTTTCTCTATTGTATCTGGTTTGGTTTTGTTTAATTGCTTGATGAAATTAATGTTACACTATTGCAGGAACAAAACACATCCTCATTAAACGAATAGCTTGGAGGATGTTTTGGATGCTGTAATTAGCTTCTTTGAAATATTTATGTTCTTCCTAATGTTGCTTGAATAAATGTTAATTATGGCTAGTGGAGAGGAAATCAAAGAGCTGAGTATGTGAAAACATTATCTTCTCTGTCTTCTGCGAAGGCAAGGTCAGGAGGTACGTCACTGAATCCACTCACTGCGTACACGCACACACAGCCTGTGAAGAGGTCGATGCATGCTGTTTTTTGTACGACTTCAATTTAATAAAAATTATGAGAAATCATTCCTCCCACATCTGAACGTAAGCGTTAGAGGAACTTTTATCCATGCTGCACGTTCTTCACCAATACATTCCAAACTTAGTGGACAGTGCTTGAAATGGCCCACTTTGTGTGGGCAAGCGTATTGATGTTTCTCACACCTTCATATGGATCTGTAAATAACTTAGTAATCCTTCTGTGCAATGGACAAGCTGTGTACATTGATTTTCTTCTTACCTGTTTATGTTCTAGGGAATTAAACTTTGTGTAGGCAAGTCTCAATAACTAATTAATGGCTGCTTAGGTATTGCATTTCTTCAAGATATCCTCTCCATTTATTACTAATAATGCATAGAAAATTGGTAGCAGAACTGAAAAAGATCCACAAAGAAAAGTGACTGGAGAGTCAATTCAAGAATCAGCAACACCGAACAGGCTTTTATTACAGTGTTAACTTAACACAAAGAGATATTTCCTCAGTAGAATCTTTAGGAATATCTCCCTACAAATAGAAAGCAAACAACAAACCCCCAGCCATATCGGGCATGATAGGCCCTACATTTTCTCAGAATATTTCTTTTTTATTTTATCCAAGATAATACCTCAGCTCTTTCTTTATGAATAAGCAAAAGATAAATGACCCTCTAATGAATTAGATCTTGCCTGAACTACTGGAAATGAGGACAGAAAACCCAGCCCCTGTGCTAAGAGAGACTCCACTAGGGAACAGTAATGGGACTGATTGCAGCAAGTGTTGAGGGCTCTGCAAAAGTTCCGGAATGTTTTGCATAAAAAATTCCTTGTTTAAAAGAGAGATGGTCAAACCTTTTCATGACTTAAGAAAACTTGCTCAGCAGGTGACTGTGACTAAATTCAGCAAAAACATGATAATCTTTCCAAAACTGAGGCTACCTGTGGGTACCCAGCAGCAATGTGTCATTTTTATGGACTTGGCTTTGTTTTAGAAGTGGTACTAGTCACAGATGATAAATCTTTCTCACTACATTCACACCATTTTCCAACTTTTCCACCAACATT